GTTTATATAAATTTATAATATACAAACCTTAAGAGAAGTTGTGAGATTAGAATAGTTTTAAAACTTAATTATTTTTTTAATTTCATGTAATTAAAGACAAACTAATATAATTAATTAAATTAATTCATGAAATTATGATTATTAATTATCTTGTAATGGCTTTTAAAATATTTACTCTATATATATTGGGTTCATTTATAAAGAATATAATTACTATTATATATATAGTAAAATAATTTTCGTGTGTGTATATATATACACTTTATATATATAATATTTACTTTCTATTTTATGTTAATACTACAAAAATTATAACTTATAAATTTATTAATTATAATATACATATATATTTGTTTATATAAACTTAATCATCTAAAACGAAGTCATGAGATTATAATAGTTTTGAAACTTAATTAGCTTGTAATGCATTTTAAATTAATTAAATTAATTAATAAAATTATGATTATTAATTAACTGATAATGTCTTTTAATATCTATATTTTATATATATTGGATTCATTTGTAAGGAATATAATTATTATTATATATGTACACTAAAACACTTTTAATATAAATATATTTACTTTTTATTTTGTGCTAATATTATAAATATATATATATATATATATATATATGTGTATATACACACACACTTTATAGCATATAACTTGTAATGTCTTTTAATGCATACATTTTATATTATATATTAGGTTCATTAATAAATAATATAATTACTATTATATAAATTAATAATTACTAAACAATAAAATAATATTGATTTATATTATATATTATGTTCATTTATAAACACGCTTTATAGTTTTTTATTATTTAAATTTAATTTTATTATTTGTATTTTTATTAATTTAAATAGTAGTTAATTATATGAAATATGTAGGAGAAATATTATTGTATATGGATATGGGTTTGGGTAATTGGATACCCATGAAGAATATTTTAATAATTTTTTTATTTAATTAGGTTTTTAAATGGATTAGAGTAATTATAGGTAGCAGGAATTTACTAGGGCTATGGTTAGGATAATATTTTTCAAAATTATTCAAATAGTTAATAGGATTCGGGTATTTAATTTTTTATAAGATTAGGGTTCAGGTACTTCAAAATTAATGGATACCTTACCCATTGACAATCCTAGTTAGGAGTCTAAAAGCAAAAAAAATGCAAACAAAAAAGGCACTAGATGTAGCTTTAAATATAAGAAGTCTATCTCTACCTACTATAAAAACAAAAAACAAAAAGATAAAATACACAAATCCTCTCAACTTTTGATCATAATTATACATAAATTTATCAGTTCTAAAACTCAACACTTCATTTCAAAATAATACTTTTTGCTGGACATATAAGTATAATTTAGTGAACCATTAATATTTTTATTAATTTGATAATGTAACATTATTCAAAAAATAATTTTACCCTTCATTAGTTTTAAAAATTATCAAAATATAATTTTTTAAAAAAAGAAATAATTCTCTTGATGCCCGACTACCCCACAACCAGATCTAACCATAAAGCACCAACTCTTGTCAAATTGCATAAACATGGGAACATTGATTTGGTGTTCCTTAAGTGAGTACAAGGAGATGGGTGGCCAACCAGGGTAAGGGAATTCACCTGCGGACCTGAAAATAATGAATGAAAAAAAAAGTATTTTAAATATTTTATATTTAATATTAAAGCCGTTTATGCATTTGAGGTTCAATGTTCATTTTAAAAATTAATGGATTTATATGTAATTATAATTAAAAATTAAAAATATTAGTGTATTTTAGTAAAAAAAAGTAGGTAACACTAAAATAAGTGTTTATTAGTTTATTTTCTCAATTTTTCTTGATTTCATGATAAAAGAAAGTTATACAAAATGTTAATTAAAGATTATTAACTTGATTGAAATGTTGAACCTGAATTCCTTTAATTTTAATTTCAAATATTGAGCTAGTCCTTCTGCTGGTATGAACTTTGATGAACGGCGTTTGATCAAGAAAAATTATTAACACCATTTACATTAGACTAGTACTCTATATGTTTTCTAAAGTGGCAGCAATATGATGCATATTTGATCAATTTTACTGACCAATTTATTAATAATTATATAACAAGTATAAGTTATTAATTTTGTTTAATAAAATTATTAAAATATTTTGAATTCAAGATTAACTTATTCATTCACATTTAAAGATATATTTATAATTTTATTAGATAAAATTAATGGCTTAATTTTTGTGAGAATAGAAATGATCCATGAAATGTTAATTAAGGAAAAAAGATCTCCATAAAGTATCATATGAAAAAATTAGATTCATAAAGGATGTAGATGTAAATTATGAGAATGGGGACCAACATACAATGTGCTAGGCCGGCTGTTACATGAAGTTCCCTAACCAATTGGGTGACACTTTAAATGTAAATAAACTGACTGCTATCTTGATTGTTGAGTATTAGTTTTGTACACACTAGAATTAATCTCCCTGACTATATATCTAATCACTAATGTATTAGCAAGATCAAGTAGTGCAATCCTCTATTTCCTTGTAAGGTACTTAGAGAAAACATGGAATTGCCCACATAATAGTAATTGGTTTGGAGAAATTTAAAACGAAAATGATGTGCCCCTAATCTCTAGATTAATGGGATCTTTGGTTTTGGGCACTAAATTGGAGAAAAACTGATACAAAAGCACCAGGCCAACTTGTTTGAGTGATACGGATCTTAGACAATGACCAATGGTGGGAGTGAGAATCAAAAACTGAGGAAGGATTGGACAAAGGATCCAAGTTGCTGTTTCCTAACTACAAATTTTAAAGTCAAAGTGGCAGAAGATGTTAGAAGTCCATTGATGTCTGGTGTCCATTCTGCCTCCTTGTTTAGGGCACCGAGCAGCATTTTCTTTTATTATTATTATTATTATT